CCCCAAAACCCCAAAACCCCAAAACCCCAAAACCCCTTATAAAACCTGCAGTTTTGGAATATTAATATTATCAAACTTCTAGATAATGGTTAATCACGCTGCAGAAGACCTAATATCAGCCTTCATTGGAGGCTGTTTGATTGGGCTAGCCACTACTTTGAACTATTACATGTATGGAAGAATCACCGGAAATAGTGGAATATTTAATACATTAATCAAATTCAACGTGAAAGAAGGATTAAGATGGAAGTACTCATTCCTTGCAGGTATTGCCTCGATTGGGTACCTGATTTATCTGATCACTGACAATGGAAAATGGACTACCAGCTCCTTCACATTATACTTCTTCGATCCTATTGATGCTGCTATTGGTGATCTCCACATAGGCGGCTGGGTCCTTGCTGGAATCCTCGTAGGAATCGGCACCAAAATGGGGAATGGATGTACTAGTGGACACGGAGTCTGTGGACTTCCAAGACTCAGCATAAGATCTATCGTTGCTGTTGGAACATTCATGGGTTGTGGAATCGCAATCGCAACTCTTAGATATCATGTAGAATTCCTCAGGTCCAGACAATCCTTTGGAAATGGCTTTGAAGACGCTTGGCCAATCACAGGTGGAGTTTTGGTTGCAATCATTCTTGCCATTTTCATCGGCCTCACCATCTACATGTTCATAAAAATGGAAGAAGCTAAAGATAAATGGGACATGCCAATTGGGTTCTGTGTTGGACTCATTTTCGGAGCTGGACTTGTAATCAGCGGTATGTGAAGAAGAACTAAAATTGTCAACTTTTTGACAATTCATAAAGACTGGGATCCATCTCTTATGCTAGTCATGTGTGGAGCTATTTTGGTAAATGCTTTTACATTTACTTGGATCATTTATAAAGTAAAAGAGCCTGTTTTTGGAGAGACTATCTGAAACCCAAAGAATAAAAAGGTTGATCTCAGACTAGTCTGTGGAGCGGCACTGTTTGGACTAGGATGGGGAATCGGAGGATTATGTCCAGGACCTGGTATGATAAACTTCTTCCTTGTCACTCATATGATCATCTGGATCCCATGACTTGCAATTGGCCAGTTAGGATTTGAGATTGTTGATAAATCAATTTCCAAATACAGGCAACCAAAAGCAGAAGAAGAGTACGATCCATCTGCAAATAAGGTGCATCCTTAATCACAATGATGCTAATAATTCTAAATCATAAAATTTTTTGAAAAATGCATTGTCCATTTAGGCTTCTGTTCTCGATTTCTTACTAGCCTGATGGCCGTTCCTTCTCAGATTAGGAAGTAAAGCGTAACTTTGGCTTCCAGATTAGCCTAGATTAGGAAAGAAAATATTGCATCGTGAGTATTCATGAGGCACGTATCATAGTTAAATTAAATTCATGAAGCTTAGTTTATTAAACCTCAATCAGAACAAAATTTGAAGGGGTTTTGGGGTTTTGGGGTTTTGGGGTTTTGGGG